GCTGGCTACGAATACAATATTAGTTTTTGGTATTACCTATTACTTTTATCTATTTTATCAATTTTTTACAAAATTTGAGCTGAAGGGCTGGGAGTTGGCACAGGGAGCTAAGTAGGCATGCTGATTTCAAAAAAACACAGGGAACGGGAAATGAATTGTAGAAGTGGGCACAGGGAAAGACTGTATAGGGATAGGGATAGGACCTTTATTGCAGTGTTTTGACAGGGCCGAGCGGAGCCGGGTAAGCAAGCTAGTATGCTCTAAAAGCAGAGGACAAGATGGTTTTGAAAACATTTTCCTTGCTGACGTTGTTGTTCATTTACAGAAATTACTTTTTTGAATTTCTTCTTTTAAAAAATTCACTTTCCGAAACAAAAGTTCTTGCGTGCACATCTTCTATGGTATTTTTGAAATTATATTATAATTATATTAATTTCAAAAACAGGCAGGGTGAGGTAAAAAAGGGAAAGGGAGATGCAAAAACATACGAGTTGCTGGTCGAAACATAACTATGTGCTAATCCAGCAGCACATCGTTTCACATTTCAGAAAAAAGACGGCAAGGAATTGATACAAACTTTGACTAGGAAAAATGATGAGAGAACTCCATGGCTCCCTCCCCCCCCCCCGGTCGACATTTTATAATTTCTCTACCAAGTGAAACAACCTTCACCCTGGAGGGAATGCGAACATTGTGATTCCCTTCATCCTGGAGGAGTCATCCTCGCCTTATCGCACCCATGCGCTTTGCATCGCGCAAGCACGACGTGCGGCCGTTCACACCTGGCGCTTTGTCAGTCGTCATCAGTTGATTTCGCAGCCCATCACATCGTTTTTGTAGTTCTTACATTTTCGCTTTCCTTGTCAGGACTTCCGCTGGAAACGTGGTGATCCGGCTTTAATCAGACAGAGGCATATGCCGCATTTGCGGACACCTAGAAAACTGAATTTTCTATTACCTAATATTTTGCTGCGACTGATTCTGACTGTTTCTCTTGCTCTTTTTCTGTGCCAGGCGTCACCAGCTAATGTCGCTTGGTTGGAGGTAAAGTGTATCAGTGTATCTTCAGTCGATAATCGGCAAAAAAGTTGAAGTGGTTTTAGTTTTTAGAAAGACCATCCGAAAACAGACCAACAGTAAAAACTCACTCTCCTAAGTGTTTGGGACCGGCACATCACTCTTCCAGCGGAAATCGGAAAGAAAAGCGAATAGATAACTAGCCAAAGAACGATCTGATGCTGCGAGATCAGCTGATGACGACTGGCAAAGCAACCGGCGTGAACGCCGCTCGGTTGTGCATGGGCGATGCAAGACGTGTGCACCAAACCAGTGCGGCGCGAAAAACATCAAAGCGAATTGATACCGATGTTACATGACTCATGACTTAATCTAGGATGATGTAAGATGTGAGGAAATTTCTATACACGAGAAAATCGCTTAAGGACTTTGAGAAGGCATATGAGCACGCAGTGACAATAGGCAACGGAATGACTTCATATAATTAGCTAGTGACCGTTTGTCGTCGCAGTGTATGACGATGTAACAAAATCTTCATAAACTTATATAACTGTACGAATCTCAGTTCAGAACAATCAAATTCCTCGTAGGACCTACTTCTGTCCGCCTTATCGCCTCGCTGTCGCTTCCCGTTGAGAATCGTAGAAGCGAGCGGGCTACAATGGCACTGAGCGGGACGCTAAAGCTGGCATCGAGCGGACTGCTATGAGGTATTCAGCGGGAAGCGAAAGTGGCGGCGATAAAAGCACGGCGCTTTTGGTAGGTTTTAGCAATAACTTTGTGGCTGCCGGCTAAGAACCTTTGATTGTCTGAGCTTGTACTATCTGTTCATCTACAAAAGTCATGAATTTTTCTCAAAAATCCCCAAAAATAACTAACATAAGCACACCCTTCACCCAGGCACTTTTTTGAACGAATCTCAGAAATGCTATATATATCCTGAACGCGGTGGACAAGACGATTCCAACTGTGACTATTTCCTTGTACAAATTGTTCATCTGCAGAAGTTATGAACTGTTTACCCCTAAAAACTTGTAAATATCCAGAAATCACTACCCACAACCTTTACTAGGCACTTTTCCAATAAGCTCCATGCGAACTATATATTCTCGGAAAGCGGAGGACAAGGCGGTTCCGATGGTATCCATCTCTGCGTACAAGATTTTCATCTATACAAGTTATGAATTTTTTGACCCTTAGAACTCGTAAATATTTGGAAATCACTACCACGCGCTTCGCATGCACCTTTTTGAAATGACCCCAGACAAACTCCCAGACTATATATTTCCTAAAAGCGGAAAAAGAACGTCTATAGAAGTTATAAACTTTCTCTTTTAAAAATTGTAGATGCTCAAAAAATTGTCTACCTCTTTACCGAAACAGATGTTCTTGCATACACATCTTCTACTCTATGGTATTTTCGAGAACAGACAGGATAGTTCCAATCCTACTTAAGTCTTCACAAAAAAGACAGCAAATGATGGTAGAGAATTGAAAATAATAAAACGTTGGTTAGAGAGAATGATGAAGAACACCATCTCCCCTCCCCCCTCCTCGGTCGACATTTTACAGTTTCTCATCAAGTGAAAAATCCTTCACCCTGGAGGAACTGCAACCATTGTGATCTCCCCCCTTCATCCTAGATGAGTCATTCTCACCTTATCGCACTTATGCTCGCCTTAAGTTGTGCCTGCCCGGCATATTCGGACTAGCTACATATAATTACGAGCTCCTCAAAACACCAAGACTTTGCAAGCTCCCTCCCCCCCCCCCCCTATTCAATGTCGCTCCGGATGCTGATAATATCGGGGTTTCAAGAAAGTCTTGAAAATTAGCGGCGAAATCACTCCAATTAAGATCTTTCAGATTTAGGGGTTTCCTAGGTTGCTCTTTTCAATAGTGGAGTTTGTTTGTTACAAAGTCAATGTTCAGCACCGATAATGCCAACCGAGATCAAAATTCGGATGTTTTAAAATTTTCGTTTCTCAAGGCAAGATTGAAGATTATGCTTTACGCTTTTTCGATAACGGTAGTTTTGTGCAGTATCAATAGCAATTTGATTTTTTGGGCACTTTTTGGAGATAAAGATTTTTGTCTCACAAAAACCGAATTCTTTTCCTAGAAATGAAATCCTAAATGCAGAAATATGTTTGTACTGTCTTAGTTCTTATTTTAGACTCAGTAAGAATATGTCAAGGTACAGCACTAATAATGACCTAGCCAGGTATTTCTTAAAAAGCCCCAGGTCACTGAGGCCACTGAGGCTGTTCCAATGCCAGAAAACTTCACAGTAGGCCTAAGAAGCTCGGAATGGTGTCAAACCGTGGAGAAAACATTTTCACCATTTTCAAAACAACCAAATTCAAGCTAATGCTACGAATACCTTTTAAAATAGTTTACTCACAAAATAGTCAATCTTCCGAAAACCCATACACCTGAATTTTGACCTTGTTTTAGGCAAATTTTGGCAAAATTCGAATGTCGATCTCGGTTGGGCAATATCGGTGTTGAATCTTGACTTTGCAATAAACAAATCTCGCTACTGAGAAGAGCAGACTCGAAAACCCCTAAATCTGAAACTTGGTCTTATTTGGAGCAAGATAGTAACTGAATTTCGATTTTGAAACTTTCTTTGAAATGCGGGTTTCGGCATCTGAAGCGACACTCGACACGGGGGCGGGACGTGCATTGTCTTGCTATTATGAAGGGCTCATAATTATAGCGGTCCGAATATGCCTAGTAGGCACATCACTTAGGTGCGAGATTATGGCTCGGGTGAGAACTCCCCCCCCCCCCTCCTTCAATAACGGACTGCTGAATTTTTAGATCAATTTCATGGAGAACAAATTCACGCACAAAATTTTTTACATTGATTCAATCTTATGGTAGGGTACAAAAATTGACGAAGACTCCCAAAAATTTCTAGAGCATGGTTTGCTCCCGTCTCTTTATTTGTAAAAACTTTATCGCCCCTTTATCTAGGGACAGGGACAATATATCTTTGAAACGATGGGACAAGCTTGTGATGCGATCGCCATCTATAGGTATATAATAAGCCCAACAATAATTCAATTCTTATTACGGGTCGATAACCACCTAGAGTATACCTTTCGTGACCGACCAAACAGAAACTGTGTGCAAAAGCAAAAGCTTCCTTCTTAATCGATTTGGATCATATTGATGTGGAAATCCACTTCAAATGTGTTACAGCAACTTTATATATAAAGCTCTATGTCTAAAATAGAAAATTCACTTCTGAACCAATCCGGACCGATCTGGCATACATACACTTTGGGGTTACGGGAGGGTGTCGTAGGATACTTTTCGTTATTAATTTTACTGATTCTTAACGATTTTTTGCAAAGTTCCGCCAACAGGGTTAGAAGTTGCCATAGGGGACAAGTGAGCATGCTGATTACGAACACAATATTAGTTTTCATGATTATCGATTACTTCACTGATTTTATTGGATTTTGCAAAATTTGAGTTACGGTGCTGGGAGTTGGCGCAAGGGGGGTGGGGGTGAGTGGGCATTCTGCTTACGAAAACAAACGGGGATAGGAAATTGGCATGTAGAAGTGGGCACAGGAAAAGGTTGCACAGGTATAGCGATGGGACCTTCATTATAGTATTTTGACAAGACCGTGCGGAGCCGGGTACGCTAGCTAGTACGATATAAGACTTCGTCTTTTCGCTGAAAAAGGCGGAGCTACTGTACTGATCAAAAAACTTAAAGCTGGTTAAATGTGCTCTAGAGTGTTTCGATAAATATATAAATTGCTATCTGCTTAAAAAAATCACGAATCAGTTTGCTAAGAAATGGATCTAACTTTTTGCTTCCACTTCACAAACGAATCCATTCAGCATGTCACAGTCTTGTGTGACCCATTTGCCACTCGGTGGTCCGTCGATCATCATAAACACACATTCACCAGTTCCACTGGGATAGCCTAAAATTTCAACAATCGTTGAACAAATGGCCATCAACTCTCCAACGAAAACTGGTCTCCAGCAAAATGGTTGGGTAAGTCGATCTTATCTGGGTAAAATGCGTCATACTGATTTGGTGCTCCTTGGTCATCATCCCATCTACAATTTTTTGCAATCGCATCGGGACATCTCAGACCTAGCCAAATCAAAGTACCAGCTTTTTCAGCTAGATCTTGGATGAATGCGTTAGTCTGAATCAAATATATATTGAATGAGTCAAAAGTCAAAGAGAGGAGTTCAAGTCAAAGAGTCAAAAATTTAGGCCTAACAAAAGCATTGTGAATGGAAGCTAATCGACCACCATCGTTTGAACATTGAACTGAAGCGTCCAAATGACAGCTGCGATTTGCATAAACCTGAATAGGATCAAGACTGCAATTTTCAAATAACATGTTATCGTACCATGTAGCATAAGTCCCCAGCTCCACTAGAATAGCCAAATGGACAGCTGAGAGCATTCACTGAAATAAAATATTTCAGAAGTTGAGGAGACACCACGCAAATAAAAGCTCCATATGTTCAGAGTGCAAGGAGACTTTACTTTTTGTGCTCATAGTAGAGAAGAATTTTGTCTTGAGAAATGATGAAAAAAAGAAGTCTGTCCTTGCCTGCAATTACGTCTGGGCCGGTAGTAATCCCCCCGACCTGGCGGCATGTTTCGCCGTCGTCGCCGCCTTTACGTTAAGTCGGCGCGAACTCCGACCTCAAGTCTGTACCCTCCCAACTCGTTTCAACACGTATTTTTGGTCGAGGAGGTCATAGTGACTTTAGGGAACCTTACCTGGCAAGTGAGGGTGCTAAAAACCTCCCTAAATAGATTTGTAGAGGTAGGCAGAAAGTGCCAACTTCGCGAGCTGATCTGCCGGCATCTCGTCGAAATTTCAGCGCTGAGAGATGCCGCCAGGTCAGAGAGCACGAGGAATAGCGTGTTCATTTGAGAGATCAAGATGCCACCACCTCGACATGCCCCTACCACGTCGAGGTGGCGGCACCTTTGCCGACGGCATCTGTGAGTTTGCGAATTGCGGCGATATCACACAATTTACGTCTGGCGAAAAAATCGAAAAATTCTACTTTCCATCAAGAAACTATCATTTTTCTCATTATATGAGTTTTTCTTTTTTGAAACGACGATGATCTTACAGAGAAAAAGTCTAGTAATGCTTGAGAACCATAAAGAACACCTTCTTTTTTGGAAATCCCTTCTAAATCTCCTTTGCACCGATTTCGCCCCTCTCTCGCTCATATCATTCAGCTGTTCTTTCAGGTCAAAATCTCTCACGCAATGTATCGATCCCTCTTATAGGCGGCCACTTACCACTGCGTTCTTCCTACTGCTGGTGCAAACGGCAATGATTGACCGAATGGTCGAATGGTTAACGTGGTGGCACCTGAAGTTAACGCTCTTAGGTTCGACTGCGCGCGAGGTAGCAGTTTTGCGGCTGTGTGCATCATCAAAATTTAATGTGCGAAATATTGCGTACTAAGGTTATGTAAGATTATTGAAACCTAGAATCACTCCGCGAGCTGCCGCCGAAGATGGCAACTTTCCGTAATGTGTGCCAACTTGGCGGCATCAAAGATGCCGCCAAGTAGGGTAGATTACTACCGGCCCTGGTAACCTTATCTTATATATAAAGCTGAATGTCTGTTTGTATGTATGTATGTCTGTATGTATGTGTGTACGTATGTTCCGAATAGAAAATTCCATTTCTGAACCGATCCGGACCAAACTTGGCACACATACACTACGGGCCCCGGCGGGTGTCATAGGCTACTTTTCGTCATCGATCGATATCGATTTTATCGATTTTTATCGATTTTCTTGCTGAGTTCACCTACGGGGCTGGGAGTTGGCACAGGGGGGTAATCGAGCATGGGGATTCCGAATACAATATTGGTTTTCAGGATTATCGATTACTTTTATTGATTTTATCGATTTTTTTGCAAAGTTTGAGTTACGGGGCTGGGAGTTGGCACAGGGGGGTAATCGAGCATGGGGATTCCGAATACAATATTGGTTTTCAGGATTATCGATTACTTTTATTGATTTTATCGATTTTTTGCAAAGTTTGAGCTACGGGGCTGGGAGTTCGCTCAGGGGGGTAATCGAGCATGGGGATTCCGAATACAATATTGGTTTTCGGGATTATCGATTACTTTTATCGATTTTATCGATTTTTTGCAAAGTTTGAGCTAGGGGGCTGGGAGTTGGCACAGGGGGGTAATCGAACATGCTGATCATCCCCAAGGGGGGTGATCAGCATGCTCGATTACACCCTGTGCCAAATTCCAGCCCCCTAGCTCAAATTTTCAAAAAATCGATAAAATCGATAAAAGTAATGGACGATCTTGAAAACTAATATTGTATTCGTAATCTGCATGCTCGATTACCCCCTGTGCAAACTCCCAGCCCCGCAGGTCAAACTTTACAAAAAAAATCGATAAAGTCGATAAAAGTAATGGACGATCCTGAAAACTAATATTGTGTTCGTAATCAGCATGCTCGATTACCCCCCTGTGCAAAATCCCAGCCTCGCATGTCAAAATTTACAAAAAATCGAGAAAATCAACAAAAGTAACCGATAATTCTGAAAACTAATATTGTATTCGGAATCCCCATGCTCACTTCCCCCCTGTGCCAACTCCTAGCCCTGTAGGTGAACTCTGCGAAAAAATCGATAAAAATCGGTAAAATCGACATCGATCGATAACGAAAAGTGGACTGTGACACCCGCCGGAGCCCGAAGTGTATGTGTGCCAAGTTTGGTCCGGATACGGCGGAGCCGGGTAAGCCAGCTAGTCCCCTATAAGATGTTATTAGTTTATTTCATTTCCTTCCATCAAACATCTATCTACTTTATCAATCATGGGCATTTGTCTCAGATTTAACTATTTTTACGAAGGAACAAATTCAATTTTCAGTCGCAGAAAATTGTTTTGTTCGTGGGCGAAGGTGAAGTTTACGTAATGTTCACAAATTCAAGATAATGTGATGTGATACAAGACAAGGGTACATCAGTGACAATTTACGTTTTGTTTTGTTAACTATCACATTCTATGTACTAGAAGGTTTGTAAAGGCAACTCGTCTTTTCCGCTTCTCCGTCATATCATGGAAAACTTTGAAAAAAGTGAAGTTTTTAGCGCAATTTTTTATTGTACCCCCCGAATTGCACAAAATATTTTAAGCGTTGAATTCTCAAATATATGAAGCTGGATGTCTGTCTGTAGTATGTTCGCCTGTTTGTACTTATGTTCCTTACAAAATTTTTATTCTAAACCGATTCGGACCAAACTTGGCACACATACACTTCGGAGTGGGGCGGATGTCATGGGACGACTCATTATCGATCGATTTCGATTTTATGGGTTTTTGCAAAGTTTGGCCTAAAGAGCTGGGAGTCGGTACAGGGGGTAAATGAGCATGCTGGCTACGAATACAGTATAAGTTTTCAACAATATCGATTACTTTTATCGATTTTAGCGCTTTTTTGTAAATTTGGAGTTGCGAGGTTATAGATTTCAGCGGTTATCGTAAGCTATGAGATGGGGACTGAGAGTTGGCACAGAAACGGGAGTAAGTGAGCATCATGATGACGTGTATAATCATAATAATTTGCAGGGACACCCATTGTAATTGTCGATTTGGTAGAAGAGTCGTAAAACTTATGCTACTGATTGCTTTTCAAGGAAGGTATTTGTCTCAAAATGGCCTAGGCTAACAGGGTGTATACCTTAGTGAGCGACTTGAAATGCGGGCTACGAATATACTATCCTTGTCTGCTTATCGATTCACTGAACAAGCTACAAGCATTTATTTGGCCTCATGACTCTGAATGTGGTTGCTGTTTGCAGAACGGAAGTAGCAGAATAACTTTAGGACTAACCCCACTATTTTTTTTATGCACAATATATATAAAGTGCGGTACATAATTATACGAACACCCCAAATTGTGGGAGTTTCTGGATTTTTTGAAACTCAAAAAGTCATTGGTACTACGCGAAAGAGCACAACCGAAAATTGTAGATGGTCCATTAGGCTGCGTTCATACTGATTACGTAATCCGGGAACAGTCCCAGCACAACGCTCACTTTGAGCGTTGTGCTGGAACTGTTCGCAAACTTCGGGATCAGTATGAACGCAGCCTAAGAGTGGAAATCGATGCCAATCTTAGGAGCGTTTTTGCGCCCAATGCGAATTTTTAGCGGTTCATAATTATACGGACACCTCAAACAAAGGTCCATTTTTCATTCAAGACTGCAATCTTTAGGGCCCAAATTTTTTGTGGAGTTACAGTAACAAAGTCTGAAATATCTGGTACACATTGAGCTCAGTGCAGTTCAAAAAGAGAAGCGTTACTTTTTCCAGATGGCTCTGAATGCCTTTGGAGACATTGCGCTCCTAAAAACGTCTGTTTTTCTGTGGTTTACGCACTCTAATTAGCTTCTACCGCGGCTACGAGATGAAATGAACTTTTCTGGTAGATATTTTGTTTGACGCTTGGAAAATCTTTGCGTTTTCGTGCCGTTTTTCGACCAAGTTCCATCCTTACCGTAGAGTTAGCACAATTTCGAGCCTCAAAACTCAGCTTCTGTCTCGCGCAAACATTTGATATAAAGCAGCTGCATTGCTTGCATGATGATGTATCCGTGCCAAAGTTTTTAGGTTTTTTGCAGAACTAGTCTTGAGCTACGGAGCTAAAAACCAGACGAAGGTGTGATTGCATTAGTAAAAACAGTGGTTTTGGTGAAAAGACGCCTGTGTGGCCAAAACAAATCCTCAACGTTGCTGATTTTTTTCTGGCCAACTACCAATCCTTTGAACTTCTGCATATTATGTGCTTACTTCATTCTAGGGCTTTAGAAGCTGGTTTTGAGTCTCGAAATCGTGGCAAGTCTAGGGTAAGGTCGGAACTTGGTTGAAAAACGGCACGAAAACGCAAAGATTTTCCAAGCGTCAAACAAAATATTTATCAAAAGAGCTCATTTTATCTCGTAGCCGCGGTAGAAGCTAGTTAGAGTGCGTAAGCCACAGAAAAACAGACGTTTTTGGAGCCAATGTCTCCAAAGGCATTCAGAGCCATCTGGAAAAAGTAACGCTTCTCTTTCTGAACTGCACTGGATTCAATGTGTAGCAGATATTCCAGACTTTGTTACTGTAACTCCACAAAAAATTGGACCCGGAAGATTGCAGTCTTGACTGAAAAATGGACCTTTGTTTGAGGTGTTCGCATAAAAATGAACCGCTAAAAATTCGCATTAGGCGCAAAAATGCTCCTAAGATTGGCATCGATTTCCACTCTTATGGACCATATACAATTTTCGGTTGTGCTCTTTCGCGTGGTACCAACGACTTTTTGAGTTTTCCAAAAGTCCAGAAACTCCCAAAATTTGGAGTGTTCGTATAATTATGAACCGCACTTTATATCTAAAAATTCTTAGAGCGAACTGCATTT